ACGTTTTAAACATTTATGTAGAATTATTTTAAGCTAAGTTTAAAGACAATGGTTTTAGATCATTGAAACTAAGTGATCTACAGTCTTAAAAATACTGCAGCATTTCAGTTGTGAAATTATCTGTTCTTTTGTTTGGCCAACGTCTACCAATGTTGTTTCATCCTTTTACTGTCTCCCAAATTGTAGTAATAAAATTGTGCTGATGAGACAGGATGGCATTGTGTAGAGGACAAAAATGGTGATGTCATCTCGTATTTGTGCTGAGAAGGCCTGTGGGAAAACCATCCCATTATTTCCCATCCGTTTTCATACGTGAGGTAAAGCGGATCACATTACTAATGAGGGAAAAAGTGCAGACTCTATTTAGTTCCGCAGAGCAGGTCTGTTTAAGTACTTTGAAGCCACAGCCCGCATTCCAAATTTTTATTTTGACAGCTTTTGTTGCTATTTAAAATTACAACCTGTTTAGTTGCATTCATCTACAGTCTTATACCTGGAGTAAAAAGGGATAACACTTTTACTGGAAAAGTATGCTGTGATAGGAATCAGCTAGCGTGAAGCCTTGAAGTCTATTCAGTTATACTTCTTTGTTTGTTTGTTTGTTTGTTTTTTCTAAACATGTGCCACACGTTATATAGCTAAAAGTACACTGGGTACAAATGTGAGTTATTGACAGACTTGACAAATTCCATTCTTTGCAAAGGAGGCCTTTTGTTTTTGTTTTTATTATTATTATTATTTTGTAAAATGAACAGTAGTATTCCATACTCCAAGTTGGGTTTTTTTTGCATGTCCCAGTTATCTTCTATAGTAATAAAACTGCACCACATACGAGGTAACAAGCAAAGGGCAGGATTTTTAAGTAGAAATTGAGTCATAAAGTTGGACTTTTTCTGGAGGCAATCTGATGCATGTTTAGATAGAAAGAAGCCCAACAACTCCCAGCATTCCCATCCAGCATTTTTTTTTTCAGTTTGAGGATATATAAAATTGCGCCCTTAACATTCTTTCACATGTTGCTTTGCATCAATTCCTCATCCCCATGGGTCTCCATTGTGTTCATAGTGTAATGCTGGCTTGCTAATTAGAAGTTTAAATTCATCTGAACTAGGATCTAGTTCCTAACTAGGGTTTCCAACTGCTGCATAGGCATGGGTCTTCCGCTGTAAAATTTCCACACAGTATTTCAATTAACTCTTTGCACTTAAGGGCATGGGTAGGCAATATACAACCTATGGGCCATATTTGCTCCCTGCTGTGGCCCCGTTGTCCTACACTGGGCCTTCAAATTATTACATTTTACAAACAAAATACAGTGGTGCCTTGGTTCATGAACTTAATTTGTTCCACGATTCGGAATGCGACCCAAATCGGTCGTGAACCAAGTCAAATTCCCCCATACGGTTCAATCCAAATAAGGTTAATCCGTTCTGATCCCTATGAACATGGTCGCAAACTGATTTTGGTTGGAAACCAAGTCAAATTTGCCCATAAGGTTCAATGTAAATAAGGTTAATCCAATCTGTATTTTTTTTAAATCACACAGATTTGAAACAAAGGAACAACGAAGAAACAAAGCATAGTGCAGTGGAGAACACTAGCCTAGATGGGCGGGGGGGGGGTGTTACTGTTTGGAAGGAGAGTCTCCATAAGGACATTGGAAGATCTCCTTCAGGGGTTTCCTCTCTTCTTTGTCTCTTAGCTGCAGGGTCAATTTTGGTGAAAAATCTGCATGTTCTGGTCACCTTCATTACCACTCTGCACGTTCTTTTTACCACCATGCTTGCTCTGCACTTTCTTTGGAGCCATTATTCAATATTATTATTGAATAATACTTTACAGTACTGTATGTGCTAAAAAGCACACAAAAAAGCTTCACAGCAAGTGACCACAGGTCCGTCTGTGACCGCGAGTGGGGAAGATGGCTGTAATCGCGATCGTGTTCGTGTGGGAACATGGCCAAGTTCGTGGTCGTCACCTGATGCGGAGTTTGTGAACGGAGACAAAAATTTTCCGAAATTTTTGTTCGTGAACCGATTTGGTCGTGAGCTGAGGCATTCGTGAACCAAGGTACCACTGTTGTGTTCCGTTAGCAGCCATGGAGTGCTAAAAGGGTCTAATGTAATGTACAATGTAATGCAATGCACAATGTAACCTTTTAATACCATGCTACATTAAAAAAAATTCCCTTCTAAGTGGCCTGGAGAGGGGTTTTAGGTGGCAGAAATTGACTTCTTGCAGTTGCCAACCATTGTTACTGTTACTAATAATGAGAATTTCATATCTGTGCCACCTAATTGTTGAAGCTCCCTGGATGGTTCACAACAGTTCATAAACATGGGTTCAATAACAACGACAGATACAGGAAAAATACAAATACAGTAAAATGCAGTGTAAAATTCAGTATGCAAAATGATTTCAACAAAAGCTAGACCTGTTCAAAACAGCTGACATACCCCATCAACAATTGCCTGGGAGTAGAGAAGAGTCTTCATGTGATGCCAGAATATGAGAGTATTGGTGGCGGGGGCAGCAATCTCTTAGGGGAGAGATTGTTCCATAATTGGGGGACATCACTAAGAAGATGATCCTCCTTTCAGGCTGCCCTTGGAACTGGCAGTCAGAGGAAGGTCATGAATGTAGATTACAATGTCTGAGTAGATTGGGGTCAGGAGGTGTTCCATCATGTATTGTGGTTCCAAGCCATCTGCTGTTCCTTTAGGATCTGTACTAAAGGTTTAGGAGGTTTAAGATCTTTTGTATGTGTACATTCTATTATGTTTCATCTATGCCACTTGGAGTCATATGGGCAGGGAAGGGACCATTCACTGGAATATGCCATTTTTAATTTGCTTAAACCAAAATCAATTTTTTTAACAATTGCACTGAAGCACTTTTTAAACTTCAAGAGCTATTGCACAAATCACTTCAATTACTTTAAAAATGTTTTCAGTTATGGGCAAATTAGAAGGGGGAACCTTACACAGACATAAAAAGGCAGGGTATTTTTTAAAAACTGGTATTTTAATTTGTACTCAGATGCCTTTTCCTCTAAGAGCTACACATAGTTCAGTAAAGATATGGAAGTATACAAGCTTATTAAAAAACTAGTTTGTAAGATCATACATCAAAAAGAAAGGTAGTCGTGCTGGTCTATAAGAAGAAATTACAAATTTCACAGATGAGCAATAACTTTATTAGAACTAACCAGAATATACCAAAGCATGCTTTTTGGTTCTCTGGAGCTCTTCATCAGGATTAATGAATCAAAAAGCAGGAGACGGAGGAAGCAAGGAAAACAAAAACAAGGAAAAAGCAGGTTTTAAGTTGTGGGCAGTCATGCTGCATTTAGACCTGAGGAAGAGCTTCACTGACTAGAGTCCCCAGTCCTAGGATTTCCCCAAAATGCATTTACCACAGTGGGGGCACATGCCATTGAATACAGTATGATTTCCATTGTACTGAAATGTGTTCCTGAAGGGTCTGAAGATATCCTGGATATAAAGGCAGAAAGAGCACAAGGACAGTTTGGGATGAGTGTCATGTGACGACAATGCCAGTAATGGGGCCTATTGTATATGGTCCCTGCTCAATTTTACATAGGATTACATGGTGGAATCCTACGCATGTCTACACAGGTTCATTGAACTGGATGGACCCTGACTGAATTCGCCTACACTATGTGCTGCATGGTGGCAGGTTCCATAAAGGAATCTGTGACAGTGGAATAATAGTTACTCCTCTCCCCACTTTTTTTGAAAATATAAAATCTGGCTCTGCACTGGATCCTGTGAGGTTGTACTTTAAACACTGCAGAAAGCAAGTCCCAATGATAGATAAGTCTTCACAAGGAAGAAAAAAAAATCTCCTGGTGAAAGTTGCCTGTGCAATTTGAAAAATGCAAATGTATATTTACCAAATTGAACTGAAGGGACACTTTAATGTCTTTGGATGTTACAGCTCTGTTTTCTGGTCAATGCCGGCCTTGTCACCCTGTAGAATTCATTTTGGGGCCACTGGATAATAGCCTTTAGTCCTATGTAGATATCATTCACATTGACTGTTGTGTTAAGCTTCTGTTAGTGTATTTGAGCAGTGAGGCGTAAAGTAAGTAGAAAAGAAACACAGCATTATCGGTCCTAGCCCTGAGCTTTCTCAGGATGTTTGATGGAATCTGCTTGACATGCTTTACCTAAATCTGTAATGATGCCATTATCTGATAATTTGTAACAGCTTGCACATTGATCTCACTGCCTCTTCCCATCCTGGATCAAAGTTCCCTTCTTCCCATTAACCTGGAAAGGTGCTCATCAGTTGTAATGTTTAACATCGTGACCCCTGACCTGGGGTACCTCTCAAGTCCCTACAACTGTAGATTTCAGAGCCTAAGCTAAGCAAAATAGCACCAGTGGTTAGTTAGAATTGCAATTCTTCATGCTTATATTAATATTGACCAAATGGTAGTTCATTTTGTTCTTTGCCTCAGGCAGCAAACTATCTTGGGCCAGTCCTGATGCTAATTAAACATTTAACCGCAATTAAGGCAATTGTGGAGAGGAGAGAAAAAATGCTTCAGTTAGATAACCATGGTTAACTGGTAACCAGCATTTCCTCTGCACAAGTTCAGTGAATTATTTCCTGTACATTTTCCAATCAAAATGGTTGGAGAACATGGGAGGCAATTACTGAATGCTTAGATTCTCATGGCCCTTAATTAATGCAAAACTATACCATTTGGCAGAGCTTTGGTAAGCATCACACTATAAGTTGGGCTTTTCAGAGATGATTAAGCTATTCTTTAAAAAATAAGAATTTTGTGTGGTTTAATGCTTTTACTTTTATGTATATCCTTTTATCAGTTTTCAGTTGTTACAGCGATATTACCAAGATATATTTATAGTGACAGAACCTCTTGACAATTGAAGATACAAAAAAGATTTGCATTTCCCCCTTTTCATTCATTTCTAATAACCATAGGTACTGTTTTCACATCATAACAGGGAATCATCATGTCAGACAAGAGTGATTTAAAAGCAGAGCTTGAACGCAAAAAGCAACGCTTGGCTCAAATAAGAGAGGAGAAGAAACGGAAGGAAGAAGAAAGGAAAAAGAAAGAGGTAAATATAGCTTACATTTGTTGAGTCATCTTTCCACATGTTTGTTTCTGAATTGTTTTCCTTGGAACATAGCAATATGTATTTATAAATTGAAATGCAGCATTAAAAATGGAAGAGAAAAAGGTAAGAAATATGTGTAACAAAAAAAAACTTCACAGTTTAAGGGGGAATTGCATAATTTGCATCTGCTTCTTGTAGTTGGATCTCAGACTAAGAGAAACCTTGATTAGCTTTGTTGCTGACAAATGATAAACCATTGTTAAGGATGAAATTTGTTTCAGGTAGTAGGAGGATGTGACTTATCTATCCAGTTTCTGCTGCCCATGAAGATTTTTTTTCCCTTGCTCATATTTCACAGCCTTGAAGGAAACTGATTCTGCATTATGAGAATAAATTGGGGAGCAAGGTGAAAAGCAGGCAGTGAGGGAAAACGACCCCCCACCACTCACCCACTAGTAACAGTGCCCACACTGCCCCACTTTGCAAGGGAGGAGCCGTGATTAGGCTTGCAGATATGAGGTGGGAGGCAGAAGGATACCTTCTGCCTGAATGATCCTGCATACAAAGGAAGGGACTGTGTGCCCTAGGAAAAGCCCCTCCTCCTCCTATCAAGCCTCAAAACTCTAGTGCCTCATTATACAAGACCCTTTTACTATTCCCATTCAATTACTCCCATTAAACCTTTTATTCCAAGTAGATTTATGTACCCTTCCAATTAAATTCCAAATCCCTTTAAGTGCAGACATTGTGGAATCCCAGGTCTGCAAAATGAATGACACAGCTGACACAGCATTTCTTGCTCTTCATCAGTAACTACAAAAATGTGTGATGCTTGGTTATTTCATTGAACGTTCTTTAGTGGACACATGTTTCACTTTTTAAAAAATGTAATTTGCAATATTTCTCAAAACAGGAATTCATATCTAAGCACATGCCCAATGGATATACAGGGAAGATGAAGTCTTGGATTGGATCCAAAACACCTGCTTTCAGGGCTTGGCTCAGCATGAACTCAGTCGGCTAGTTCAGATGACCCTCTGAATGGTGGCCTCTAACTGTTGCTTGCCATGAAGTCTAAATTGGCAAACTATGGTGTGAGCTGCTCCTCTGAACCAGAGCTGGAAACTTACTTCAGATGGTCAATTTCTACTCTAGTTGCTAGAGAAACTCAAATTCACAGGGCAGATGTACACTTAATGGCAACCCGTCATGCTAAATCATCATGATAGGTTTCTGGAAAGTGCCAAACACATGCAATGAGCCCAGGGAAATGATCAAGCTCATTGCAGGTGCTTTGCGTGATCCCCCTCCTTCCCACTCATGCTTCCTGATAATATTCCAGGGCAGGATGCCATGGTTCTAAGTTGACTTGGGCTTTGATCAACAACCCTAAGTTGATCAAAGAACCCCCATTTTTCAAACAGGGCTCATGCCCTGAAGTGCAACAAGGCAGATGGGGGAGTTGATCACACACTCCTGCCTCCTTCATCAGGGGACATCCCTGGAGGAGGAGGAGACGGGTCTGTGATCTACTCCACACTACTGCCATGTTCTCAGGGCAACAGCACTGAACAAATTGCCATCTCTCACCTCCTGTTCCAGAACTCTCAGGCAGGAGGTGAAGGTCGATGCTTGGTGGTGCTGAGAATGGGGTCACCCTCCCAACCAGTCATTGGCTCTTGCCTTCTCCCCAAGGCAGGAAATAGGATGCCTCTGACAGCTGAATTAAAGCAGGGGCAGCTGTGCTCTTTAGCTAGCTGCTGGGTAAGAGTGGCAAAAGTTGTTTTGGCCAAGTGGCTCGCTTGATTTGAGGCTCAACCCACAGTGAGTTGTGTTGTCCAAGACTGGAAGGCACAGTGAGCGAACGTGGTAGGGACAAGCTCTGGAACAGGCAGCTATATCTTGCCTGGGTTCCCAACTGCAATTACTCACAATGGCCAATCATCACTACTTTGTTCAGACCATAATAATTGCTTGTCATGTTATGTGAACCCAGTCAGTGTTTGCTGATTAGGACATTCCATTAAACTATGGTTAGTACTCTAATCGTGAAGCCACAGATAAGGGCAAAAGAAAAAATGCATCATTATGTCTGCAATCCTCTATGGTCTTACATGTGAGCAAGATCAATTGAACACAGTTGGACTTACTTTTGAGTAAATTGAATAGGATAGGACTGGGGTACACAAAGATGCTTAGAAATAAATTAATTTAAAAGTTTGAAGTTGTTGTCTCTTAGATCTAGGCTAAAGATGGAAATTAACCTAATTAATTGTGATGAGCATGAAAATATGACATGCCTTTATGGATAGCAAAATAATGATTTGAAGTGGGTTTGCTTCTGCATTGGGAACAAAGAAGGTGTGTGTGGGGGGGTGCATGCGCATGCATGCTATTTTTTGTTTTGTTTAGTTACACCCTGTCCCTTCCTCTCCTCCTTTATGGCTGGCTAGTTTGGTTGCTAAGGTAGCAGATTTGTGCTTATTGTTCTTCAGCAAAGTAAAGGATAATTGCTGTTGCATTTTAGCCTTCTGGCTTTGGAGCATCTTCTAGTCTATTAAGGTTTGACTGACATATTAGTTTATTTGTCCTTGACAATATGCGTGAGGTTTTTCATTAAGGGATTTGTAGTTCTTTTTATTCAGTCACTTAGTGAAATAGAGATGAGAATTGACAGGGCACGGATATTCATTTTCATGCAAAGTCAAGGAAGCATTAAGTGATTATGCTTCTTTTCTTTCAGATGTCAACATTTGTTGCAGTTTAAAGCACCTGTTATCCCTTTTCTAATAACTGGTTTGCTTTTAACTGACACTTTAATATCGTACGTGTGTTTCATACAATCATTGGGATATGTGACTTGATACAAGAAGCTGATGTTGTACATTGTTTTGGGTTTTTGCTGTTCTCTTCCCCCTCACCATCTTGCTCTTTTTATATAGTTACCCTGTAGCAACACTCTCACTCTCGCGATGACCAAGAAGTTGATCCCACCATCGATGGGTATCAGTTCAGGGGCCATAGGATTGTCCTGAAAAAATCCTATGAGGCTGTGGACAGAATTCCAAGCTTGGATTTCTAGATGTTGGATCCTCGCTCATGGCTCTTTGTAGCTATTATAGAAGCTTCTGCATGGCTTCCTGTATGAAGCCAGGTTCCAGGCCCAAAGTGGGAAGAAATGGGTGTTTCAGCATATGCCAGTAGGCAGGGAGGGAGTGGATGAGGATCCAAACCCCTGACTACATCCTTACAAAACATTGAGATGCAATGAGATGCAATTGAGAATCAGGGGCACAGACCCTTCCTCATTTAGACTGGGGGGGGGGTCACATTCCATTTCAGTGTAGCTCTAGCAGGAGAGGCAATTCCAGTGGCAAGCAGGGCTGCACACAAAAGGGGCGAGGCCAAATGGCATAAATGCCAGTATATTTTAGCTTGAAGTTCTAGCTGCTACAAACTAAGCCATAGTAGAAACACTCCAACCTCTTAGAATAGGAAAAATGCACAAAAGTAAGGAAACCGTAAAAGGATTGGTGTTTGCACGGTAAGTGGGCATGAGATTTTGAGGGCCCTCATTTGGCCCTGTGCTTGAGGTTCTGCACTTGTGATCTTAAAATTGTCCTTCTGTTGCTGACAGTAAATGGGCATGACTTTTTTCCTGTGGGTGGATAGAAGAAAAGCACTGTCAGCTTCAACTCCTGCTACATTTCAAGATGGCACAGGGCAGACCAGAGAACATGGGCTCCTCAAAATGTCCACTGTCATCTTACCTGGTGGAAAGGTTGCTGCTTGTATGTCATGTGTCTTACCTGTTGAGCAGCACTAAGAATAGGTAAAGCGGTAGGGAGATATGTGGCTCTATGCACAGAGGTACCTGCCATGGCTGCAACTGTGTGGCACACACCTGCCCCTCATCTAGGGGTACCCATGGCACTTTTCCATGTGATGGTATTCAGCATGGTAAAGAGGGAATGTGAGTAGCTTAGTGGCGGACTATATGATTGCTGTGGTAAAGTGGGGTATGTGATCCCCCAAAGCACAGTGCCTTTCTCCTTACTAATTTCCTTTTTAAAAATTCCCTGTTATTTCAGGCAGATTTTCAGCAGAAGAAAGAGCCGACTCAGGAAGATTCTGATCTGGACCGCAAGAGGAGGGAGACAGAAGCTTTACTGCAGAGCATTGGTATTTCCCCAGAACCACCTCTAGGTACTTGGAAAAACCCACCCAGCTGTGTTACAGTTCCTGCATTCCTTTGATTGCAGCATGCTTTGCCTTCTCTTGCTTTGGCTGTTTCATCATCACATGATGTGTTCTGTTTACATGCCATGCGTATCATCCATATAACCAGTTCATAGTATTTCTGGTTGTTATCATGGCTGAATGCCCACACCGTGTCAGTGTTGCTTTCCTTACACATTTTGAAGTTGTTTCATGCCATAGGCTGCTGTTTACCATCCATCTGGAAACAGGCTTGGTTTCTCCTACATTCATTTAGTATTTTCTTACATATAAAATAGTTGTCACCTTGAAAACACTTTCCTTATTGCACTTTAAAACAAGGAAAACAAATATAAAAACAGTAGTCAGTTTGCTTTTGTTCCATATGTTTCTCTCCTGCTTTTGACTGTTCCTTCATTCCACTCTAATGATGCATATGGAAAATGTGGCTTTTCTTTCCGGCCATTTTTATGTTTGAAGCTGTGTATACTCCTTATTGTTGAGAAGTGGTCTGTGTTGTTTTTCCTTTATTTACCCTTCAGTGCTTCTTATCTATTGTCTTTTTATGTATAATAATTCAGGAGAGCCAAAAGTTTAGCAAAGGATCCAGGTGAGCACTTTTGCTCACTACTAATTGTACTATCACAATATATAGTCCTCAGTAGCAGGCAATAGTTGTTCAATGTGTGTTCTATGTTTTATTTTTGTTGTGAATCATCTTCAATCTGTTTTTCTTAAAAGTGTCTAAGGGTGCAATCCTATGCATATTTAGACTGAAGAAATCGCTAGAACTCCCAGCATGCTCTGGGAGTTTCAGGCTGATTTTTCAGTGCAGACACGCATAGCATTGTGATTCAAGGAGTCTAGATACTAATGACACTGATAATCTCCTAGTAATCTGGGGGATTAAAATTAACTTTGAATTCAAATCATATGTAAGATACATTAACATTTGGTCATTGTCTCTGTAATTAAGAATCTGATCAATTAAGCCTGCATAATGTCTTGTTGGGGAAAGCTGGTATCTCCTGCGTCAGTGAGGCTCCTTATCCATTGCAGCTTTTACTCCAACCATTATAGCAGCTATCCGCTGTGCTGAAACCCTACCCCAAACCTGGGCTCCCACCATAGAGCACCATGGGTGATTCCTACAATGCTCAGGATAAAGGCGGCAATTAATAAGGATCCCTACTGACATAGGAGTCACCAGCTCCCACTGCCTGCAGTGTGTCCCTGCCTATTAATCTGCCATCTTGGAGCAAGTGAGCAATGAAAAGAGGAGGAACAGCAATCCTTGCTCATCTCAGCTTACCTTTTTCACTCTGGGTGGCTAGATGTGTGGATCAGGTCCAGAGGGAGAGGGCAGTGGCAACATCAGTAAGATCTTTCCCCAAAGCTCCCCCAAACAAACCATGTTGAATGAGTTGGTAAATCCCCTGACTGTAAAACGGATGTAGAACCATGTTTAACCAGAAGGACAAATTCCATTTTGGAGAAGCCTGGGGGCCTGCATGGCAATGGTGTGCACCCAAAGGGAAAAGGGAAAGGACTAAAATATCTCAGATAACAGCATGTTTCGGCTTAAAGCTCTTGTTGCTAAATGAATTTCCTGCTTTTCAAGCAAAAACATAAGAAAAGCATCTCAACTTTTTAACATGGGGTGGTGGGGATTGCACAAAACCTGGAAAATCACCAGATGATCAGTTGTTGAGGAAAAGGGACCCCTGGAAGACCAGAGTTGCTCCTCAGGCTGGAAGTTCTGCACCCCTGCTCTAAAGCCACAATTGCACTTGGGGATATTCGTGCAAATCAAAACTCACCTTCGCCATCATAACTAAGGCCAAAGAAGTGAAACAAATAAACAATGAACACGTCACTTACCCCTTCACACCTGTTCCTGTCAATGGGCTGTTGTGCAAAATAAATGCCCTTTGCATTTTCAATTCATTTTGGTGACAGTTCCTAGTGAGAATATATGTAAGATGTTGCACTTCACACCACAGCTGAGCCACTTGATTAGTGTTTCTGCCAGCACACATGAAAGGTTTAGCAAAAAGCTTTATTTTGTTAAGTCAAAAATAAATTGATGTAAAATACCTAGCTGAGCTAGTCAATGCCATGTTCAAGATTTACATTTTCTTTTGTGGGGCTTCCATAGCTGAACTCAGTTGAACCAGAGCTGTTTTCCAGGTTTTAATTACACTTGTACTACTCTAGATGCAAAAATAATGAAACATACTTTTAAATAGTAATTGTGTTATATATTTTATTTAAATGGCTAGATTGTCTATTTTTGGGCTGGGCATTCGTTTATTCAGCTAAGTCATGCAATCTCATGTTGGCTGCTGGTCCCAGGCTGAGCAGTATAAGCAAGGTACCTTATTTTATCTTGGTCACGCTTGGGGAGGCCCAGCCAGTTACTTTCATGTAATTGGATTAGTTTTGAAGTTCTGCCCCATTTGTAATCATTGTTAGGGTGTGTTTCTCTAGCCTCCTCTTTAATCCTCATCAGAAGATTTTAAAGAAGAAAGAAAGTATTTCCAGTTAAAAGGCTTCCCATGAAATCAGGAGGTCTTTGTACTGATACATTTATTCGTGTGAGACAGAAGTGCCTCTCTGGCTCAAGAGACTGTGCCTGTCCTGGGCAGGGGAGATGCCTTTCTATTAAACAAGATGCAACTGCAGGACCAGAAGTGCCAGTCTAGCACTTCCTTCATCCTCCCTCTCTGTGGTATGTCCCCATGTGGAAGGCGTTTTGTCTTGGGGAGAGGGAAGGTTGACTTGCTATACTGCTTGTCAAGTTATTCCCACAAAACATATATTGCCTAACTTTATCCTGGCTTGATGTACTAGAAGTGATTGGATAGATGCACGACTGCTTCAGGAATCCATTCTAAATACTATTTTGAGACCCAATCATAGGTATCATACTGTTGGGCAGACCTGGAAAAATACACTCCTCAGTTTAATTTATCAGAAGTTACATTTATTGTGTCAATGGAGCATCTATTGTCTCTAGTATTTCTTGGATATTCTTGACTATTTGCTCTAGGTATTTTGACATGTAGTCAGATGTTAACACTTTTCTTGTGCTGGCAGAAAAGTGCCCAAATGTTTGGATAAGGCTAAAAGGCAAGTACCATGAAGTCAGATCAACTGACAAGCAGCCAATTAGGATAGCAGATCATGGGATACAATGCTAAAACAATGAACATTAGTAATCACAAACACCCAATAAACTGCTCTGTCTTGAAAGAGTTTTCACATTGCTGCTCAGTGTGCTTTTACTTTCCTTTGCAATTTTTTGTAACAATTTTGTGTTACAACTGCAACACAAAGGGAAAAGGAAATCCCTTTAAAACCGTGCCCAGATATTACTTTAAATTGTTAACATTGCATTAAAAAAGTCCAAAGGTTTCTCTTACCTTCAATCTTTCAAAACTTAAATTAGTCATAAGAAAAACTCCCTCAATATTTATTTTCAAGTTTTTTCTTCCCAACATCAAATACTGATATTATCATGACTTACTTTCAGACCAATCTAAAATTCACTTCAACTTTAGTTTTCAAAAATATTTAGCATTCACTTGACTTTCTTCCTTTTCTTTTCCTTTCCTTTTGCCTTCTTTTGCTTTCCTCATTTCAAACTCTTCCCTGCCATTCAACATTGTATCACTCGATCCTTGCCTATGATTTTGTCTGACACTGCTCTTCATCAGTGCAGTCGCTGCATGTTTTAACATGGGATACCTGTTATTTTCATTATTTAGTCCCAACCCCTATGTCTCCCTCTCCGAAATCAGTGAGCACTCCCAGCGAAGCTGGAAGCCAAGATTCAGGAGACCTGGGACCTGTAGGAAGGTAAGGTGAACTGCTCCGTCAGTGCTCTGTATTCTCTCTCCTTTCGTCATGAATACGTTTCTGTCAATGCCATGCGCCCTGCTTTTCTGTTTTGGCGGTGCAGAACCTCTCTCGTCCCAAGGGCTGAGCCATATAGCAAGCCCAGTTAGAAAATGGGGTTATTTTGAGTATAGCTGATGATGTAGAAATGAGAAATGGGAACTTTCATTAAAAAGAAAAAAAGAAAATCTGACTGGGTTTGTATTTACATAATATAACCTCTTGGGGTTTTGTTGTTCCCACGTGAGGGCTATAGGATATTCAAACCCTGGCTAAAGATACATGACAGAGGATTGACCAAATTAAATAAACTTGGATAAAGCGAATTTATATGCTTGAGTTATCTTACAGCAGCAGTTCTTAAAGACTGAGTCAAAGCTCTCCGAAGTGGTCTTCGCTCCAGTTTCTTCTGATTAAGCAGGCCTTTGGCTCCTGGCTTAGGACAATACTGTCATCGTATTTGTCTGCATGTAGTGGGAGAGCAGTACAACTCCTTCCCTCTCTGTCTAGTTTGCATGCCCTTCTTTCTGGCCCTTGGGCATAAGGCAGGGTGGAGGAATATAAGAAGAGCTGTGCTGGATCAGACCAAGGGTCCCTCTAGTCCAGCATTCTGTTCACACAGTGGCCAGCTACCTGCCTTTGAGAAACCACAAACAGGATGTGAGTGCAACAGCACATTTCCACCCATGTTCCCCAGCAAACTGTGCATATAGGCATGCTGTCTCTAATAAAGGAAGTAGCATATGACCATCAGGACTAGCAAACACTGATAGTCTATTCTTGAGGAATTTGTATAATCCCATTTAAAGCCCAGGAGAGATTCTGGAGATGCTCTTGGAGGCTACATCCCAGTAGTGTGCAGGACTGGAAGCAAAGAGGGTTGGACCCAAATTACAAAAAAATCAGTATATTGTAACTGCCAGTCACTAAGGCCTTGGAGAAGTGCATCAGCCTTTTATACTGGGGGAATTTGAGCAAAACACATGAGCAAATTTGGTGTATATCAGATCTGCAAACACATATATTGAAATTCAGATTCTGTTTCTCACTAAGCAATATATGAGTTGCAGTGTAAAGAGTCAATTTCCTCACCTGGAACTTATCTTCTAGATCCCTTCTTTAAAAATCAGTGTGTACATGATTTTATCAAGCTGCTCAAGGCAGCATTATCTCCGGAGCTTGTGGCAATTTTTGAAAACTTCTATTGTAGATCAATTTTTTAAAGTTGGCCATCTGTTTTTGCATAGTGCTTGAGGGAAAAGGGATAAAGGGTATCTAAGTTGCAGTGGAAAAGTAGATTCCTTTAAAAAATAATAAACTAACAAAAATAACTGTAAAAGGCATGGCACTGGTAGTTAGACATATGCAAGCCATTCTTGCTTTCCTGTTACCATTCTGATATTGTACAATAGGAATTAGAGCCTCCAGGGATAAACGAAAGGATAATCTTGCATTAACGCTAAGGCCTAAATGACAGGAACAAATGTAGCACACAGTCTTCAACCTGTGTAGTTGGAAAGGGATTTTGTTCTGGGGGAAGGGTTTTCAGATAGGGAAAAGGGTAAGCTCATGTATTGCAAACTTTCACTAAATGTGAGAGCAGTACATTAGATCAGCTGAGGGGGACACCTTCCAGCTAGGGATGTACAGTTTACATTAAATCCTTCCATCTCCATTCCATTGATTGACAGGCATCTGTCATGTTCTCATCTGCTTATTGACAGAATTGCATCTTGTTTTAGGAATGCACAAGAATGTATACTTGATAACCACACACACACACACACATACTTTTATTACATGGAGATTATTTGTGTTATAGGAAAATCTGTACGAAGTGGCTAATGAAATTATAATCATTTCATTATGTGGGAGTAAGCCCCATTATATTTAGTGGGCTTACTTAAGTAGACAAGCATAGGAAGGCTCTTTAATTGCTTATACCAGACAGGTGCTATAGATGGAACAGTTCAGTGGGTGCAGCCTCTAGACCTAGATTTAAATCAGAATAGACCCATTACAGTCATGGGATTCCATTTAGTCATGACTTCCTGTTAGTTCAATGGGTGTCCAGTATGCATAACTAAATCTGGATCCTGTTTGCAAGTTTACATAGCATGGGGTTGATATCATGCATCTGAATTACTGAATGACATAACTTGGCTCTATCTCTTCTGTTGCCAACAAGAAATGTTATGCTGCAATTTGTTAATTTTGGTTATTGTATTTTATTACTGCATTTAATATCTTCTATTTTGTGAGCTGCCAAGAATATATTGTTATTGGCTGGCTTATAGAAATATCATGAATAAATTATTTTAAACAGTTTTTAAAATGCATGTGGTGAAGTAGTGCAGATATCAGAAGAAACAGTTCTAAAAACCAGAAGAGAAATATGCTTTAATGAAGGATGAATGAAGAATCAACTCTAATTAGAAGGTGAAGCTGTTTAATATAAGGTAGGAGATATTTATATTCCTGCTGCCACAAATATTTCCCTTCTGGGGCAAAGTATAATTACATAGTTGGATAGAGTAGCATAGAATTGCATAATTAGCTCATAAGTTTTTCCATAGTTTTCCTACAAATATCAACATTGTGGCTATATATTTTTGGTGTGTGCCATTAGGTACATTAGGAATAGTCTTTGTCTGAAAGGTGCAAATCACCAATCTAGAATTTCCAGCTGCTACAATCCAGTAAATGTATAAATAAGGCCTCACTAAGTCGTCATGCTAGACCAGAAGTGACCAAGCTGCAGCTCCTGGGCTGTCTGAAGACTTTGGTCTGGTTTCAAAAACTGCATAGTTTTTATGAATGTATTCTTTATATAGACCAGAATTCTTCAGATGGTCTCCATGACAATATTTTTCTGTACACTAAACAGAAGCCCATGAGACAATCCATTTAATACTGTGAATGTAGACACATTTACTTGTCCGTCCCAGGCCATTTAATACAGGAGTGTTGAGCCTCAGCCCTGATGCTAAATCTGGAATTCCTAATTGTTGCCTAGTCTACCTCCTTTCTCCCGGCTGCTGGCCATTTTGTGATTTCTTGGCTTTGCTCAGTTTTTTCTCCACTTCAACAAGCTGAAATGCCTCTTCTGGGGCTTAGTTACTGGCATGGAGAACTTTGAGCTAAATTATGCTGCCATATCTCAGCCCTATCTCTTTCACCTTTGGCTCCATCCATCACTTGGAGGTGGCTCCCAAGAGCCCCCTTGAAAAGGAAATTGGCACTCAGGCTGAAAGAGGTCCAACCCTCCTAACCTTGTGGAAATAACTCCCAAGTACAATTGTGTAGGGTTTGATCCTGTGCACAGTTAGTTGAGAACAGGCCCTCTAGGACACGTGAATAAGCAAAGCATTGGGTGAGAAGTCTCTGTCCATGTGACCTGGAAAGGGGGAGTCAAGTCCTGGAGGTCTGCCAATTGCAAAGTCAGGGAGCTCAACATTCATTATCCCCCCACCTTTTTCTTTTGCATGTGAGCTTGTGGTATCATTGAAAATGTTCATGTTCCTCAAGGATGTGTAGAGTTCTATCCTCTGGATTATTGTTCTCATTAGCAAGTTCCTTGCGGTGCAGTTTGGAGAGGAGAGGTGCATGCATTCCCTAAGGGATCTTCCTAGAGTATCTTAGCAAACTGAGCCCCAGCTCTATCCATATTAATATGTAATGTAATGTCACAGAATTTGTGTAGTCAATGGCTCTGCTGTGCTCATTAATCTACTCATGAAAGCTTTAATTAGTCTGCTTTTCTTTTAGAGGTGGCACCCAAAGAAATCAGTAATATGATTTACTCAATTGTATACTCAGGGAGGGATAACTCATGAAAGACATGACATTGGACAACAAAAGCCATGAAATGAGGAGCCAGAAACTGGAGGGGAAAAGGAACCTGCTGACAAATATTTCTTGCAAAACCTATTGCTGCATGCTGGTGTCATGGTCTTCACATGTATTGCTTTATAGATCGCTTTCTAGTTTCCTAGTGTATGCATTCAAGGAAGATCAGGTCTTTCTCTATCTCTTTCAACATGGGACAGCCCATCCACCTGTAGGTTGAAGTTGTACAATGGAATCCTTCCATCTTCATCTGCCACCTCATTCTCTATAACGCACCCAATTTTGTGATTTCTTCCCTTCATGCCATTTAAATGATCTGACAATACTAGAGCTTTTGGTAAACTTGTCAAGAGGTGAGAGCATTCAGCATTGTACATCTCTCAGTTTTAAAATTACCGAAGTCATTTTTACTCATTGCAGTAATATCACCTTCTCATTGTCTTATGCACACTTTCACCAATGCAGTTTCCAAGGGGCAGTTCTGGTGTTTGTAAAATCTGTAGATTAGCCCTCTTGGGTAAAGATTCGGATGGTTAACCTGTTGTAGTTACAGAGTCAACAGACCTGCCGAGAGAGACCCTGTTGTTCAAGTGACATTCATATAAAGCTTTCTGCTTCTGGAAGTTCTCCAAAAAAATCAGATGATTTCTGAAATGATAACCTATATTAATATGTCTGGAATCTAATGATAAAGAGAACCCAATCAAACAATACTTTAAGTATATCACAAGTGTAGTTGTTGCCATCCGTCTCTGGAATTTGGCACCTCTGAGAGGTTCTCCAAAATTGAATTTGGCTGTTAGGCTGAAAGTGGGTCCATACTGCTGCATTAGAAAGTAGAGGAATAGATATATATGACTTCGTGAGCGGAGCCGGCTGGTGCCGGAGGTCAGACTAGATGGCCCGGGAGGCCCCTTCTGACTCGCTCTGTTTCTATGTCTCTATGACTTGTTCCTATTTTCACTTTTCCCTTGGTTTGTGATATAAGAGAACTAGCAGGTTTCATATTTAATGAGAAAGGTGGGCTCTGATCGGAAGCTCTGGGATTTACAATTTCTGCTTCCCATGTTGTCATGTTTGATTTATAAATTTGCAGTCAGGTTTCTTTTAATTACAGTACAGCTACTTTTGAGTTTCTTAACCAAAATCAAAACACACACTATGTTCCAGTAGAAGCAGGAAAAGAAGTACAAGTCACTTGTTCTCCTCTTCTGTGAGCCATGGCTATGTGATTTGGCAGTGCTTTTTTTGTAAAAAAAAAAAAAAAAAAAGTGCCAGAACTCATGTCTTGGGGTCACACTTTTACACAATCGTCGCCATCGGCAGTAAGCACTCAGCACGCGACCACACGACCGATCCCAAGCTGAGCAGCGCCCTCACAATCAGCACCGACAATCAGCGCCGACACACAAGCAGCCCGCAGGCACTATGTTAATGATTTTTGCCAAGGATCTGCTACGCCCAACAGGGTGATTCACAATCACTTGGAAAAATCCGTCAAAAAAAGGTGCTGGAACGCCATTCTGGTGCGTTCTATGACCAAAAAAAGCCCTGTGATTTGGGCAAAAAAATATCTAAATATGGTCCTGAAATACTAAATAGTAGCAGTATGTGACTGAGAGAGAGCATTTGCAGCCATAGTGCCCTGCCTTAGCTTTGCCTTGCCCAGACAAATCTAGTGAACACCTGCTTTTGTTCAGATAAAGAATCTAATGTTTTCTCCAAGCATTTTCTTGATGGTTGCCATTGTCTTAGCTGCTCCGCTTCTTTAGTTTGCTTTTAATGTTTTGATCCTGCAATTGGCTTTGGTGGTAGAGTCTCTCTCTCTCTCTCTCTCTCTCTCTCTCTCTCTCTCTCTCTCTCTCTCTCTATATATATATATATATATATATATATATATATTCATTTTGGATCTTATGCAACCCGCCTTGAGCATTGTGAAATAGGAAGGCAGGGTGTACACATGGAACCTATTAGTAGTTGGTTCTTAACACCTTTTTCACATAGCTCCTGAACAGCATTTGAAATTGGGGTTGGCAAGGGCAAATCTGATGCTTGAACTTGCATAAAACCTACAAGGTGACTTCTTCCTCCAATAACCTCCAGCATCTTTCCCTGCTGAGGATACAGTTCCCGGGCTCTTTCTGTAATCACACTGTAATGGTATTCTCCCTAATGGAATACTGTTTGTCACTTGGGACACTTGACAGGTTTTGAAAGAGGATGGAGCAAAGGGGTAATGACTGCCTCAAGCAAGCTACATGTATCCCCCCCCCCCCGCCGCCCCCCGCATACCTGGGTGTGCAGGTATAAGTGGCCCCACGATACTCATAGCATTAGAAGCTGGCACAGACTCAGCAACTCACACTCTTTGTTAATGATCTTGGAGACATTATAGAGGTCATTTTCACTTTGTTTCAGTTTTATATGCAACTTCTGTAGCACATGAGTCATAGAAAGTGTTTAGCATCAGGCATTCACTTCCTTAACAGCATTTTGTCTTCCATTACTCATGTAAAAAGCTTGCATGGAACTGGGGCTGAGAATTCTGCTCCCACTAATGCTTTACTCTGCTATTGATCTGTGGCATAAAAAACCACCTTAAAAATCCTGAGCAAAATTGTATTGGATTTTTAAAATTATTTTGAAGCCATCCCTTTCTATAATGCTGTTATAATAGCATGCAGAATTGGAGGTGGGGATGATTTTGACCTAGTCAACAACAAGGGCAGATTGATAGTCCCTGTATAAGAATGGTTGACCTTGAAACATTTTGAAAATGCCTTAGTGAGCCCCCCTTCTCCTCCCACTCCTTTTAATAGACTTAAATATTGATTTTATCTGGATGTGTCAGTGTGGTAAAATGTCCTTGATCTTTTACTTCCCCTTCAACTAATAGGAATGGAACCCATCCAGGGCATTATATTGTATCACATTTGCAGCCCAATCCATTTGTATCATGTTTATCCAGAAATAAGTCCCACTGTGTTCCAGGGAAGTATGCGTAACATTGGGGCCAATCTGCTGCAATTCTACCACTGATACCCAACCAAGCAAGGGCACAACCTGTGCAAGATAAATGGAAATGAATGGGTATGGTATCAGACCTCTGTGCTCTCCAATAGTTTCTCTTAAAAGGAAAAAAAAATCAAGAAGAAAGTACAATGTCTTTTGATTCCTAACGCTTGATTCTCTCCGTCTGGAAACAATCCAGCTTTTAAGAGGATTTACTAGGTGTTGCTAGGCTGGCCTCATTTTATCATCTGTAAAATGAGAGAAGCAGTTTTGTTACTGAACAGAGAAATCATAAGACTAGACTTGAAAGCTCTTTTTGTACAGAGAGCAATGCTGTCAGGTTTTTCCTACCTTCAATTCAAAGTGTCAGTGATAACCTTTAATCTGCTAAACCAAGGCTGCAGACCTATTTTGGGGTGGGGAGGCCCACTGAAGGCATACCCCTCCAAGTTTTCAAGCTGGAAGGAGACACTGAACCTGCTCTGGTGAAGCCCTTGCACCTTCTGTCCCCGCTTCCCCATGGGTGCTGGGCAATGTGTGAACTTCCCCTGGCAGTGCCTGAGAGGAACAGTTGTTCTTCCCTACATGAATGGGTCAGGCTCAGCCTCCCGCAATATATCCCTGCTGTTACCCTTGAACTCGGGTCGGAGACAGCAGTGAGGATGGGGGTTTGCCATGGAACCCCTGTCCCCAGGAATCAGAGATAATGAAGGGGCTCAGCTGATGACATGCACCAACAGGGGAATCCTTGCTTGGCTGCTGTTGCCAATCTCAGAGATAGCGCTCTCGTTCTCTCTCTCTCTCTCTCTCTCTCTCTCTCTCTCTCTCTCTCTCTCTCTCTCTCTCAGTGTGTGTGTGAGTGCATGTGTGTGTGTAGGGGAGATGCTCTCTGAGGTGAGTAGGTGATTCTCCAGAGATTATGCTTATAGCCCAAACCCTCCTGCTGGACGAACCCCAAAAGGTACTGCAGGTTAGACTGTGGTGTATCCTGTGGGCTGAATCAGGCCCCCAGCCTGGAGGTTTTGCACCCATGCTCTAAGTCAGTATTCCCCAACCCAGTGGCCTTCAGTGGCATTTGGGCCACATCTCCCAGAATTCCCATTCAGCACCATTGAATGGGAATTCTGGCGGTTGGAGCCCAAACAGGATTGGGAAAGCCAGGAAGGCACAGGACTGGGAAAGCCAGCTCGAACTGGCTTAGGACCTGCCCATCCTAGGGATCACTGATCCTAGTCTAGCAGACCCACCTATCATGGAATGTGGGGTACAGTCTGGCAGGGCTTGTGCCTGGGGGCACCAGCAAGAGTCTCTTTATGTAGATGGAGTGTCCAGCTCTGTCCAGTCCTGGCAGCCATGGGCTTTTGCCCGAAGGCTTGACTATATCTATAGTCTATTATGCCAGGCCAGTTCCTGCCAGTGCAACTCATGGTCATTTGCTAGTATTTCTCTCTATGTAATTTCATTCCTAATAAAGAGAATGAATCATGGTTGAAATCTCCTTAGGCATCTCCTCTGCCATGTGGAGGGCCCATTTATTTTGATCTGGGAGATATATCTGGATCTACTGCAGGGCTGCTTTGGCTTGCTTCTCAGAATTGGACCACAGGAGGAAATGTGCCCATTGTCAGCTTTCGGTGTTCTCTGGAAATTGATTTATTTGGATTTTTGTTTGTTTGGTTGTTTTGTGGTTCTTATGCCTCTCCTTAGGTACTATTCTTGTTTTATGGTATTTGTTTTTCATAATGTGTATACTGCTTGGGACACTTTGTGGATGGAAGGATGGTTAATTTCTTTGAAAAAAAATATTGTGCTTCTGGAATCCCGCATCCTCCTGCCTCAAATGCATCCAGTGCTCTTAATTCATACCTGGCAACACTGATCATCCATCAGTCAGTGCATACACAGGGCACCATGCACAGGCCCCGAGTGTTGCATGCAGAGATTTCCTGACCTCCCTGCTGTAGTCTTTCGTGCCTGCAGCACAAAAACCAGCATGCAGCAACCTGTTTCTGCTTGCAAAATGCTTTTTTAAGAGCATGGGGCCTCCGGTGCGCACATGGTAAGTCGGCATGTGCGAGGGCTTCCCTCTGACTTTCATGATGTTTCTCAAGCTAAAAGCAATGTGGTGGGTTTGGACCCAGAGAGCTCACTATAAGAATCCATGTGCAAAATCTGTAATGAATTATATTTATCAATGAAGCAAGGAGGCCTATCCTGTCAAGTTTGTTACTTTTAATTAAGCAAAGCTGAGCAAACCGCTCGTATTGGAAGCTTCTTGTTCTTGCGAGTGTGACATCCTCTAGTTTGACATGGAGTGTTGCTCAGTTACCTGTTCTTGGCTAAAAACGAGTGCTGTGCAGCAGTACCTGTGGTTCTCTGTTGTATTTTTGGAGCTGTGTTCTGTGCCTGTACAATACGTGGCAAATGATGAAGCGGTTTCTTTCCCCCCTCCTTTCAGTTAATTCTGTGTATTCTTTTTCACCCCTTGTGCTGTGCGGCTGATAACCTGGCTAGGACCTTGCAGTGGGACACAGACCCTTCAGTGCTGCAGCTTCAGTCTGACTCTGAGCTTGGGTATATGTCCACTCTTTTTTGGTTGTATTCTAACTTTATTTGCATGCATTATGTTGAAACAGCTTCCTAACTGGGTTTTATCTGTGTCACTCTGTGTTTCCAGATGAGGCTCTTACTGTGCAATCTCTCTAACTCATGGTATGATGAGCAGGACGGTAGTATTGGGGCTTCCACACAAAAGGCTCGCAGTGCTCCCAAATCAGTTATTTTCCTGCATAAGTTGCAATTGTGCAAAATCAGTGCTTTTGTTCTGCTATGTTCTGCCACACCAGCTCATGGGCTGCAGCATTGTGGCAGGGAAGGGACAATTCCTCTTCCTCTATGGTTTGCTCATTGCTTTGAACTATCCAGCCCCAATAACTGCTGTTTAGAACAGTCATTTTTTCTCTTGTTTTAAAGCAAGTGGGAGTTTTGTTGCTGGAGCAATAAGAATTTCCACCTCCTCTCCTTGTCAGCATTGCAATATTTTGCTCTCGTGCTCTGATTTGCAGAGATCAGGGCAGGCACAAGGGACTGGGATTCCCACTGGAAACACACAGCAAGCAATTAAGAAAGGAGGGACATCCCAGCACATCATCCACCTTGCCTGGGGTCAGTGCTTTCCAAACTCAGGAGCTGCCCATGGAGACTTTTTTCTTTTTTAATCCCCTCCCATGGGTGGGTAGAATTTCAACAGAAGATGGGAGAAGCTGAAACCTTTCCCACTTGGAACACCACAGTCACAATCCAAATCAGACCACGCATGCGTACACAAGGGTAAAATAATAATAGGCTGAACTACACAAACAGGATCAGTCACATGCAGAGTTCGCTCTCAGCCTCACCCTTTCCTGTCCACATCTGCAAACAGATTGTGCTCCTATTCTGCTTAATTGCTTTTTTGCATTAAGGCAAAAGGCAGAGGCAGCTCTGGGAAGTATCACAGGAGGTTGGCTGTGTCATGCGAAACACTGCTCCCCCATTAAATGTGAGCGAGCAGAGCTAGCAATTCTGCTGCCAATGCTTCATCTAGAATCACCCTAGTTATGGTCATCTTCCAGTAATAAGCTCTGCATCTTCCCACCGCTCTTCTATCTTCAGGGAGGGAAAAAGGGCTGAGTTGCTATAGAATGCCTTCCAGCTGGTAGCATTAGGAGTCCTCTGGGTGGAAGCAGCCTGAGTTTCAAAACCTGGGAGCCTTTATCTGGGAAAATGGAAGCACAGACTTCTGAGCAGGCTTGCTTCTGGTCCAGGTCAAATTCATACAGGACCATGAAAGTTCCACAGTTAGCTTATGCTACAAGAGAATGGCTGCACAAAAGCTGCAGTTTCATTTTGCTGGAGATGAAATGTTAACACAGCATGTCTGCGGAAACCTTAAGATGCATGTAAACATATTCTAGAATTATATGTTTCTATATGTCAAAGGTCTCCTCCCCACACCTTTGCTTTTTGTCCATCATTGTGATATTAACAGAACATTTCCATCATTCTTTCTCTTTTCCCATTGTAAAACTTAGTTTTATGAAAATGTTGAAAGCTAAAGCCAAGAAATAGCACAACTAGCTTATTAGGATCCTAATAATAGGATATTAGGAGGGTGAGTACCCGGAGGAGGGCTTTCTCTACGGTGGCGCCCCATCTATGGAATGCGCTCCCCAGAGAGGTCCGCCTGGCACCATCATTATTTGTTTTTTGGCGCCAGTCTAAGACCTTTTTATTTAAAAATTATTTTAATTGCTAAATTATTGTATTTATTAGGATTTAAATTGGCCAAGAATGCACCGGGGGGGTTTAAATGTTTTTTTTTTTTTTTGTATTTTTTGTGAGCCAGCCCGAGGCTTGTTGCGATGGGGGTGGCATAGAAATGTTTTAAATAAATAAATAAATAAATAAATAAAATAATTACGTTTTGATTTAATATTTTTACCCTGATCTTCCTCTTGATGCTCAGGGTGACAAATTGTTTTCTCTCCTGCTCAGAATCCTCACAACAACCGTGTGAGATTTAACCCAGGGTTTTCCCAGTCTTGAGTTCAGTTTAGTTAAAATTGTATAATGTTCTGAATAACATTATACTAATTTTAAAAACTGGCTTTGGCTATGCGCAAGTTGTTTTTTTCCTGGAATAAAGTTATTGGGGGTGGGGGAAGAGAGCATAATGGTAGTCCTATACACAATTACTTAAGCAGTAAATCCCATTTAACATAGTAAGACTTTTGAGTAATTACCTATAAGCTCAGGCTTTAAGAACAGTATCACTATAGTGTAGCAGGTATCTCCCCATCCTGTGAACGGGTCTATAGTGTTCTAACCGCCTCTACCCTAAAAAAGCCAAATACCTGCTGTCCTTTATCATTTATGTATAAGGGATCTAGCAGTAAAGATTCTGGTGTGATATAAAGATTCAGCCTTTGCACGCTGGGAGAATGGGCTGTGTTTTGATGCTTTAGAACCTGTATCACTTGCATTTACTCTAGATAAATGCAGAGATCTGAAAAAGTGAGCTCAAGTCCTTTAAAAAATAAAGAATGCTGCACTAGCAGGAGTACTTAATGTGCCATGTGGGAAATTTTTGCTTCAAGCTCCAGAGCAAACCAGAGCAAAGGTGGTGACTTTGGTCTGCATCAGTTTCCCATTGCTCCCATCCCCCGAGAAGATGAAGTCCAGGGAAGCAAAAGCTAGGCTTGTGGGAGCTGATCTTCATAAACAGCCTTCCCTAACTTGGTGTCCTCCAGATGTTTTGGGTTGCAATCACCCCCATAGGTGGTTGAAGTAATGAGAGCTCTCTTCGAACTTCTCCGGACACTACCAGGTTGGGTGAGGGAGCCATAGGGTTTTTGGAAGCAGGTTTCAGTGCCCAACTAATGCTGTGTGTTTCTATGTTCTAGCCGCCGCCTACACAAGCTAGGAGTGTCCAAGATCACCCAGGTGGACTTCTTGCCTCGTGAAGTGGTGTCCTATTCCAAGGAGACTCAGACACCTCTGGATACTCATCGGGCTGAAGGTAAATTGGCTCTTCTTATAGTCTGTCTCTCTCTCTCTCTCTCTCTCTCTCTCTCTCTCTCTCTCTCTCTCTCTCTCTCAGTAGCTTAAGTAAAACTTCTTGAAATTGGAAGATGTCACTGATCAGTAATCATGAACTTTTTGTATTTGAGATTTACTGAGAACCATTTTATAGGCTATTTAAACCATAGTCTTTCCCCTAACATATTAAATCTATAGTTTGGGGACACCCTTGACCTAGCCCTCCCATTGGCTGTGCTGGTGGCAGTGGTGTCTTTTCAGCTGGTGCACTAGATGTATGATGTCACCTGATGAAAGAGGACCTTATTACAGCCTGAGGCTTCTCTGCACCTGACCACAGTTACAGGGACTATCTGAGGCTGCCCTTAAAAAGGGGTTCAGACACTGCAATTTGTGAAAAGTGCTGCCACACCAGAGTATTAACTGGGATGAGACAATTGGAAGATGTCAAACCCATTGAGTTTGATCTGTGCTGATCACTGGTTTGTTTCTTGGGGCAAGTCAGAGATAAGTTTTTCACCTTTAAACCAGCACTGCAGAACCTGTGGCAGATAATGTTCAGTTGTAATTCCCATCATTCATGACTATTAACTGGTTGATGGAAGCTGAAGCCCCAGATCTTCAGGGCTACCAGTTATCCATACATGCCTTCAAGTTCTAAACTGCTTGGGACTGGAGTACCTCAATGACCAGCTTCTTCCAAATGTTCCTCATCACATGCTCTCTTCATCACCTGAGACGGAGCTCTGGATGTTCTGGCTGTCTGACACAGCAGAGCAGCAAATAATAAGATGTTTTTTGGTGATGGCTACCCTGGTTGAGATTTGCCAATCCCTGATTTATTAGGATAAAAACTGGTTGTTAGGAAGGTCTTCAGCTGGATTCTCTCTCTCTCTCTCTCTCTTAATAATCAATATATAACCATTTCCACCTTTCTGCTATGCGTTCATTTTAGCTCTTTTGATGTCATGACTGGTTCTTTCCATTGATTTTGGATTTTTGGAGAGGAGTTTTGTGATTATGAAGGGAGAATCTCTTAACTTCCAACCAGGCAGCAGGGAGAAATGGATGCTTGGATTTAACATCAGCCAAGATAAGCTGCCACCCTCCTGTATGTCAATTCAGCCTGGGTCAGGGCACCTTGAGACCATCTCAGACACCCTTAGGGCCAAGCCTGCTACCCTCTGTTTCCATCAACTTTAAATGGTAGCAATAAACCAAGAGGGAAGCTCTGGATTTAGCACCCAAGCTTAACTGGAATGCAGAACAGCCATTTAACTATGACAGATGGTAAGTTTATTTACAAAAGGGCAAAGGGGGATAGCATACTAAAGAACCAGAGCAAACCTGGGACACCTTGCTTACAGAGCATAGCAACAGAACAGACTGAGTTAGCCTATACATACCAGTGGCATCAGTTTGCATGTATTTTATCATGTTGTAAGCCGCCCCGAGGTTTCGGCAAGGGGCGGCATAGAAATGTTATAATAATAATAATAATCATCATCATCATCTAACTGATCAATTCAGAAAGCCAGCAATTGAAATTAGGCTACAGAAAGGAGGGCATGAAACCAGACAAAGGAAAAACATCCCCTCTTCTCCCCTGTGCTGGTTTATAGCCCCAAACCTTTAGCAAATCTAAAGTGATTCCTATTAGTCGAATCCTGGTCAAGCTGGGGGTGGGAACTTCTCATCAACACTTGAATGAACTCATTCAGTTAATTAGCAAAGGTTCTGCTTTGGCCTTAATGGCTGAGATAATGTACCCAAGAGTCCAAAGAGTACTTGCAGGCTCAATCTTACACAGTGGAATCTACAAAGACTCCGATAAAAACACACAAAAAGGATTTCTTGACTATGATGTTTGGGATTTTCTGATAGTTTAATGAGCTCTATATATGAAGCTTTATTGTTTGTGTACTTTATTTGTTGAGTTTCTTTTTTGAACAATGCAAGTTTTTAATATAAATAAATAAATGACCTGGTACCTGTGCATAATAAATGAGCAGCCATGTGATTTGCAGCCATTTCTGTGGCTTGTTTTAGAAGGACGAAAGTCTGGTATTGTCTGGAAATCATGCTTTGAGAAGCTTGTGTATTTTTGTAAAACCACCATGTCACAGTGCCACCTTATGGTTTTGGAAGGCACAACAACACCAGGGGGAACCCCATGAAAAGAACTGTTCTTAATCCTGTGAAGAATTTAGAAGCTTTGGTAAAGTAGCTGGTTGAAAGCTGCATGTACCCAGAGCAAAGGGCGGCAAGCAGCCAGTTTTAGTGCACTGCATACTTGCTTGAATGAGGAAGTGCTTCATATGGGTTCAATTCATTTGGGCTGGCAGCAAAAACATTTATAGCATTTGTACCAGTTCTTTTTCACTGGTAAAACAGCATGTTTGTAGTGAAATGGAAATCATCTAGGAATTTCTTCAAGCTGTCATCTGCTTGTTTCTATCTTTATTCATTCCAAGGGCAGCACATGTTTATTTAGTATATCGGATTGATTGAGATGCTGTTTGCACAAGTTGGTAAGAGCCCAGGCCATGTGATCAGATAGACTGACTGGTGAAAATGCTGACATCTCAGCTATTCGGCTGTAGGCCGTTTAATATGTAGAACACAGTGTTTTTCTTGGATGCTACAATAAAGTTGTGCTAACTGAATGCTGTGTCAATTCTGGCTCTCAGACATAGGATGTACAATATTTAATAGAAGAGGAAGAAAATATAGATAGCTTTAAATAGGAATCTGGTCATACAATACATCCAAACGTATATTGGTTCAACTTATTATGCATCAGAAGTGCAATGCAATGCTTTATGTGCTTCCTTAGAAGTAAATCCTACTGGACTGAAGGAGATTGCAGACTTAATATCCTGATCCAGCACCTTGCCTTCCCTACTTCATGTGTTACTTATGCAGAGGGATGAGGATGCTAGTAATGGAGCAGTGCAGCAGCGGAAGGTCTGGTCAGACGTCTCCAGCGTCTCATTCAGCTTAGTTATGTGATACTATAATGTTTCACTTTCTAAACTTTGTTCTTGCTGCCTGGCAGGTGTCCCAAAGTGTTCTAAAGTATTTTTCATGCAAGAGCAGATAGTAATGGAATATAACTAACTGCAGGTGTCCATAACCAGCAAAGTTATCTGAATTCAACTAAAATGATTTGATGTCAAATAAACTCATCTTGATACCTGACAGCGCAAGGCTGTTGCATTCTGACACTGCAAGTTCTGTTGTGTAGAACAGAAGTGGCAAAAATGTATTTTTCTCTATCCAAGTTCCAAGATGCTGGAGTTTCATCTCTGCTTTAGGAACTTACACAGAGTACCCTCTAGTGGTATAATAAAAAAACTGCATTTGGTGTGGGGAAAATCGGCAGAGAATTAATTTAGGCAGGATGGTGGCATGAAACTGTTCTGAACAGCCAAAGGAACATATGGGTGAGGAATAGACAATGCTGGATCTAGGATTCTCGTGAGACACTCCCAATAGGTCCAACCTGCAGTGAGTTGGCTTTCTCAATACTGTTGTCAACCAGTTGCATTTCATCCTTTTAATCAGTGTTGTCACCACTGTCTCATTGGTCTGGCTGAGGTGCGGTGAGCAGGCAGGCCATGTAAGCTTCAGCTCCTCACCATCACTGTTGTCCGGGCCAGAACAAGAGGCAGGTGAGACTGCTCAGGTGAAAACGACGCAGGATTTCAGCAAGCTATTGCTACAGTGGACTCCTCCCGGGGTGCACCTGACCATGCCTAACCTTGATACCAGCACTGACCTGCACTCCCAGGGCATATACTCCTGAGCTGCATTTTGAAATGAAAAATGGCTTTTGCCAGATACAAAGTATTCAAGGAGGGTGATGGCAGCCGTTCTAAGTACCTGTGCTCAGTGAGCTGCAGGTGCTAAAAAGGTGTGGCATTCTTTATTTTTATGAAATTTGGAAAATATTAAAAAACCAAAAATTACAAAGTCATAGTAAAATATTAATTGAAATGGTGTTTAAGTTTGGTCTTATACAAAAACCAGCATGAATCCACGTATTAAAGTGGTACTGCGTTTTAGTACACTGCCCGCAGTGCTGCATCTTATTTGGCCTTAATGCTTCAGTCTTATGTGAGACTCATAAGTAAATATGTAGGACTCTGGGTCAATATTGCTAGCATATCCAGCTGTTAAATCTTCTGCAGCTGTCTTTATAAATCTTGTCTGAGGAAGTCTGTCAGCCTTGCAAAGGTAATGTGGATAAACCGTCTGCTCAGCAGAGAATGTGCGCTTTGCCTGGAGCACCTTCTGGCCTAGAGGTAAGCAGCAAGAGGGGTGTGCTCACTTGTGGTAAACCCAGTTCAAGCGAGGCATGATGCTCTCTTGTTTTCCCAAGTGAATTCTGAGCTTTCTGCCTGCTTGACAGCACTCCAAGAATTTTCCCTGTCAAATTGGAAATTTGGTTTATGCTTCCTGCAGTGGGACAGACTAGCCTTGATGGGGTCCCCTCAGGGGGTCCCCAAGAGATTCCCAGTCACTGCCTCCTCGTTGATGAATATTCTTTGGCTTGTGATCCTTTCCCCCACATCCACCCCACAAGAGAGATCTGTCATTATGTCCTAGGGAGTAGATTTGGCCTCCCCACTGTGCAGTTATCAATCTAATCTTTATGTCTGACTTCCCAGTTCAAAGCATTAAATCAAATGAACTGCCAGGACACCTGGTGACAGTTGGCCCCAAACAAGAACTAATGGCCTTGGGTGGGAAGGGGGGTTCTAATGAGCTGCAAGTTGTTGCTGCCCGGCCTTTGCCCTCATCCTCATATCCTGACATCTGAGACCAGCTAGGTGTTTGAAGATGAGCCTTGTGAAACCCATATGCAAATAGAGCTCTAGTTGGGCAGTCACACAGGGGGGGGAAGAAGGGGGGGGGGGAAGCATTTGCTTTTTTCAGAGAGAGAGTTCAGAATGCCTAACTCATCAGGTCACATGT